GTTTTTTTAACTTCAGTTTTTAACCTCTGGAGTTTGTCTTTATGCCTGAGCTTCACTCTGACAGATGGTGGGTGGAGGTGGTGGAGATCAGGGCCAACGCTAAACTCCAGGACCTCAGAGTATGACCTCCCGACAAGATTTGTTTTTAAATTTGAAACTGTTGGTTCAACATATTGTTTTACACAGTACTGTGAAATGCACTCGGAGTATAAGCTACATGTATTATTAGTAGTAGTACTACTACTAGTAGAATACGGGACTAGTAGTTATGAGGTGAAGAAGTCATAACCACCAGCATTGTGCAGTTTCAGGGTTTTAAATCCAGCCCAGCAGCTCTCGTCTGTGTGTGGCTCTCAGACTTTGTCGCCACCCGACGCTGCAATTCAGCATCCTGTACTTGAGTTGGATTGTTTGGGGAGTTGGCTTTCACTCCTCTTCTCAGACACGACACGTTACAGTCCAGTGTTTCATTAAAGACCAGCTCAGTGTTTGAACACATCGCCATCAGGAGCTGCTGAGCAAACTGTCCACCTGTGATGGTTTACCCAGTGAGACTAAGCTGTCAGTCACCCAGTTAATCATCAGCCCAGTCACAGTGAAACCGCCCCTAAAATCAGCCTCTGCACAGGACACGTTTCCACTCCATGCATCAGATGTGCTTCCCACGCTGCTGTAGATGAGGAGGAGTGCACCAAAACAAATACAACTGAATACTGAGTCCATTTGTTAGGACATTGTTTTTTATTAAGAACAGTCCTTATGTTTAGTGTGTGCTGTGACAGGCTGCAGTTCTCGGCCGCTCCCTGCTCTGTTCTGCTGCACATGTGTTTCCCATCGCTGGCTCTCCTCGCCCTCGTCCCCGGGCAGCGCTCCATCAGCCGCTCCTGCTGGGAATTGCGTTGGCCTGAACCAGGAAGTGGGGGGAAAGTGGATGAGGGTGGAGGGAGTTCAGGGTGGTGGGGGGCTGTAATATGCTACTTGGCACACTGTTGGCTCCACTCAGTGAGCTCGGCCCGAGGTCGGTGGGAACTCAGGAGCCTCGGGAGGGAGTCAAAGGTCGGGCCGAGTGCTGCAGGGAACATTGGTATTCAATGCATCTTGGATGAGGGTCAATCAACAGGAGCACGGGGGGAGGGGGGTGTAAGTGCAGCACAGCAGTGAGGTGAGCGAAGGAGGGCAGACTTCGCCTGTGGGGAGGTGAGCAGTCGGTAACAGCAGAGCAGCAGTGACAGACTGATGATGTCAGCGCTGAGGTCACAGCAAGCAGGTCAGAGATTTAGAGGAAACGCAGAGGCAGGTCTGCTGACACCGAGCCTCAGGCGAGAAGCAGTCGCCCCAGCAGAGTCGGTCTTCAGGAAAGACTTAGGAGAATTTGTGGCATTGACCAGTTAGAATCATCTCTGAGGTATGAACCAGACCTGTGGTCTGAGTCCTGAACAGGCCGACCGATCTCTCTCCACAAGGGAGGTAGTGGGTTCACCTGAATGAAACTGGAGTTTCATTAAAAATATTCAGTACAGAGCAAGAACATGATCATCATCATGGCTGCCAGTTTACTGAAGGACTGTGTTTCAGCAGCTTCTACGTTTCAGTAGGAAGAAAAGTAAGACCCTGGCCTCTCCTGGCCACCTGTCCAAAACCCAAAACATCCATCTTACTGGCATAGAAGATGGAAGGAAAGGTCCTCACAGTAAAGAAACGAATTAATCACGTATCACAGTTAATCGCTTAATTTTCAAGTATTTCACCTTGTTTTATGTACAGACACATCTGAAACCCACAGATTGAGGCTGATTAACACATGAAAACACGAAGGCCATTTTCAGACACGTTACTGATTCTGGACTCAGTCTGAATGATGGACTAACGACAGGATGCCGCTGCAGGACAGGGGCTCGGTTCCTCGCTGTCATGCATGTTAATAATGTGGTTTTGGCAGATCTGACATCAGCGGGGTGAATGTTTTTCTACAGACTGTCAAACCACCTGGTTCAATGCAGAGAACTGACCTTATCCCTCCCTCTCTCAGGTTACTCCCGTAACTCGAACAGCGTGTCTCCTCGTGGCTACGTGCCGAGCTCCACGCCTCAGCAGTCCAACTACAACACCATCACATCCACCATGAACGGATACGGAGCGGCAGGGATGACCAACCTGGGCGTACCCGGATCCCCCAGCTTCCTCAACGGCTCCACCGCCAACTCTGCATACGCAAGTGAGTGCATTTAAAAGTAAGACTGAAAATACAGACCTCATCCACTGGGAGGCGGGTAGCAGGAAGGCTCCTGTCTAAGAGTGGCTGACACACAGTCAGTTGGATGTCCTGACTAACCAAAAGCTACGTTTTCCAGAGAAAATCTGCATTGGCTGCTAAATTTAATTCTCAGTCTGACGTATTTGTTGAAGTATAGGCACTGAAAAGAGCTGAGGTGTGAAGTATTAGTTGACTACACACTGAAAGTTGTCTTAGGCTTCGTGTGCCAGTGATGGTGGAAAGCGATGACAGAACATCTGAAGTGGGGACCTTGTATTTGACATCTTGACCCCTAAGCTGCAGATGTGTATTTAGTGAGAAAAGTAACATTCTGATCCCCTGAACAAGATCAGAGCTACAGTCTCACAAGTCACGGGTACTGAAAAGTAGTTTGTTTTCCTGAGCTCAACCTGTGAGACGAGAGATGTTAAGAATGTATTGATCCAATAATCAGGCCAGAGAGGCAGAGTCTCAGTAAACGCCAGGCTCAGATACTGACACAAGATGCTCAGGGTAGATGTGAGCAGTTGTTGTTTCTGGTGTTTGTGTAGGGACTCTGGTTCTGATGCAGTCGTAGTGAACAGAATAATAAAAGTGAAGCGTTTCCCGCTGCAGGAGACGAGTTGATGCTTCAGTAGTTTTCAGTTAGGCCTGTTGTTCCTCTGCTACTGAAACTTCACACCGAGCTCTGATTAACATGCCTGGAGTCGGCGCTGCTGCTTGGAAGGCGCAGGTGTGTTTTGGAGACCGGTAAAGTCTAAACTCGCCCGCAGGGAACACTCCATTGTTTTGGCTTCTGTATCAAAGAGCTCAGCGAGTCTCAGCGAGACTCGTTTAGAAGGCAGCGAGCTCAAACTGCATCTCCGTGCCAGGTGATGTTGTCGTCCCTGGCGACTAAACAAAAGGTGGGCTTGCATCTCGCCTGGCTGAGCTACAGTCTCCCCCTGCCGAGGGTCTGAATGTGTGTGTGTGTCGACTTAACACCGCCACGCATTGCTCACCTCCTCCTCCTCCCACTGTCCATCCTCCTCCTCATCCCTCCCCTCTCCTTCCTCCTCCTCTACTAACCGCACTAACATCCTCACTGCATCCTTCATGGATTCATTCACGCTTTGGGCCGAATCCATTAATATCAGCTGAAAAAAGCAAGAGAACAAGAAGAAGCAGCCAAGAAACAGAGGAATGTGAGGAAGAAGAAGCCCGATCCAGGACAGACTGATAGTTGTTGGCAAAAAAGCAATAAATCACATTTACATTCCCCCGTTTCATTTTACAGTTCCATTTTCAAATGCTGTCCGTGAAACATTTGCAGACACACTGTGCTCCATAAACTCTGTGGACGCTCTTTAAGGAGCAGGTGACGTTCTCCGTCCGTCAGAGTGAAACGCTGTCTGTGTGTTCAGCGCAACGCTGCAGTCAGGGTGTGATCGGCGTAGCTCAGCACAGAGACGGGACGCCGGGGACATGCCTGCTCTATCCGGCGGTCATTAATACCACAGACCAGCACCTGTGACTCACTGAGCTCTCAGGAGGAGCTGCTAGCTAAAGGACGCAGATACCCAGTTCTGGAACTTTCAGTCACACCACATGATGTTTGCCTGGTTGCCATGGAAACGAACCTGTTGAAATTTAGCAGAAGCCAGAGAAAATCTAATGTAAAGATGGTGAGAAATGACTGAAAGCTCCAGATAAGTGACTAAATGAAACTTATTCTAACTTATTACCAACATCCAAACTAAAATGAGAAATCACTTTAGAGAAATGTTTGTCTTTAAAACCATCTTTAAAGTTCAGTTCAATATTTAGTTAACATTGGTTCCCAAACAAGGTCCATTTAGTAGCTGCATGGGCTTCATCAGCATGTTAGTCCACTTGTGAGAGGAGTGTAAATGTTCAGATTTCCATTTCTTCTGAGCACTGAGCACTTTTCTCACAATAAAAAAAGGGAAATCTGAACATCTGCATTTCCTCGACGGCTGCTGATGATCATGACTGAAAGCTCCAGAACTGCTTCCACAGTCAGCGGCCGGTGGAGCAGCACCGTTTTTCTATTGCTCTTTCCAAGGTCAGGATTGAACCTCGAAGCCCACGGCCTAATTCCGTCCTCTGTGCATGATTCTGCACATGGTCGACACCTCCCCACGTTACTGAAGGACTCCTCGTTTCCAGAAAACACTGAAGACATGACCTCAGTGTTTTCAGCATCATTACATTTCTGCTTCTTCACAGGTGTTGGTAGGTGTATTTTTAACTGATCAGAGCCAGGCTAACAGTTCCCCCTGCTTCCAGTCTTTATGCTAAGCTAAGCTAACTGACCACACCGTGATGTGCACCGGAGCATCACGCTGTCAAAAAGAGCGTCTCCTAAACTGCTGAACTGTTCCTTTAACGACAGTCAGAAGTCAGGTGCACAGACACTCGAGTGTTGTTCATAAAGAAAAAAACAATTCAGTGATCTGTGATTGGACGCCTGACTGTGCGTACACACTCCCACATGCAGACACACACCTGTACAGTTTGTGTGGATGGCGCTGCTGCTGCTCTCAGGTTGGATCAGGTTGGTGGGTTGACACAAAAGTCCTTCAGGTTATGGATCAACTTTGCCAGCTGTGCAGCTGTTTGTGCTCCGAGCATGTTTGTTCCTGCAGACCTCGGCCCGATCTGAGGCAGGGACCCATTCCTCCTCCTCCTCCTCCTCCTCCTGCATGACGCACCTCATCTCCACCCATCACTCAGCTCCTCTGTCCGTCTGCCTGCTCGTTATGTCACCTCCTCCTGTAGGCCTGCCCTCTTCATCCTCCACCTTCTTCCTCTGCTCCCATAGGCCCTTATTCATTCTCTCCTGTCCATATGGTTTCTGCAGTCAAACAGAAGAGCGCCTTCGCCCCTGTCGTGCGGCCACAGACCTCCCCGCCCCCCACCTGCACCACCACCAATGGCAGCAACCTCCAGGGTGAGCATCCCACCCCCCTTCCGTCTGTCAGCACCCCCGTCCTCTGCTGTCCTCGTCCATGTCCCGTCTGGACACGTAGACAGACGTCCAGCGTCACTGTAATGACAGTTTCTTTGTTACATGTGTGAACCTGGTGTAAACATTTGATGGTCAAAGTTGATCCATAACTTCTGGCACTTTGTCTTTGTCTGAGTCTTATTTTTCAGTTTAACTGATTTTAAAATCTCTTCATTTCAATTCTCCTGCAAATCTAATACTGTCTTGGACATAGAGTCCTGGGACGCAAGCTGTTTCATTCTTGCGTCTTCTGAAATGTTCTTATTTTGACAAAATTCTCAAAAATCTGGTTCATGTTAATAATGATTATATAATCTTTTCATTGGCAGGTTTGTCTCACTTGTTTTAGAACTCCTTCATGGAAACGTTTGTGCAGTGAGGCTCGACTCAGTCACATGGAAGATGAAATGGAAACTTGAATGTGAAAGATTTGGCCATGCAAGCCCCTACACTCAGTGGTCAGTTCATTAGGAACCCCTGTGTCAGCCTGACTCGGTCTGGTCTAGCAGTCCAACAGGGAAGGTGATGTTCAGACTGTGTCACAGAGCTGTCGCTCCACCTGTGTGCTCACTGTGGAGGCTGCAGGCTGTGCTGCTGTTCACCTGGACTGTGTTACACTAAGAGCTGGTGTTCAGCCTCAGCGATATACATGGGGTGGACACAATAATTAAAACAGCTTTCTGTATAACAATACAAACCTTCCACACTGATGACACTGATGAACCAGTACCTCTGTGAAACACAGACTAAACATCATCACCTTCAGGACAGAGGATTTACTGCACCACTGTTGGATCACACCGACCTAATCTGGCACTGGGGTTCCTAATAAACTGACCAGTGAGTGTATGTTTAATGTGTAGTAACTTAAAGAACCCTGGTTTCTATGTAAGCACTAGCACTTATTGGGAGGCTGCTGTGGACATCAGTGTAAAGCTTGACATGGTATCAGGTCATTTTGCTTGTTACTGAGCACTCAACTAAAGTGAACGGGGCACTGAGATCATTTCACCTCGTTTCCTTTACACATCCAAACACTTCACTTGACAGTTTGTAACTTTTAGGACCGACCCTCAAAATTACTTGAAAAGAAGAAAAACGTTTCTTTGTGAACGAGTCCTGTTTGTGTCAGATGAGAGAACCCGGTACGAATGTTGATGGGGAAACCAAAACGCCATCAATTCACCATCATGTTTGTCTTACGTACTGTCTGCGATATGTTTATTTTATTTTTTATTTTCACTAACAGACGTCTTCGCTGTGTCAGAAGCTGAATGTGACTCCGTCTCTGTGTGTCTGCTCGTCTTTCAGCCATGGCAGGTCTCATTGTGCCCCCCATGTGAGGACGACTCTCAGCCAGATACCATCAGACCCCCTCCCACCACACTGATGGCCCCAACAACAACAGTGAAACGTGTTTCCCATCATCCCCGAGTCCGTCGGACCTTGAACTCACCAGAAGAAGACCTGAGCTCCACCCACAAACCATTGATTGAGTCACCGTTAGCTGGCGGCGTGCTGATCGCTGCAGCCACTGCAGATGTCACTATGGACAGTTTGTGAAAGACCTGATGAGAAAACGTGACTTCTGACATCTGCGGTGGCTTCACGTGGAGGCAGCACTCCATCAGAGGGATGTGGACTGTGGAGGGGAGGGGGGGGGCAGGTGTCTGAAGTACTACATGTCGTGTGAGTATTGTTGCGCTGAGTTATTAAACAGGTTAGACTGACTTCAGAAGTGTGTGGAGACCAAACAGGTCTGAACAGTTTGAACCACTGTGAGACAGGAAGGAGGCGAGTTCACCGGGAGCTTCTGCTCGCTGCCCACAAACGTCATCTGACAAGGTTTAAAGGGTCATTCCACTGCTTTTGAAATTCTTTGTACAAACCAAGCTTTTTTTTATTTATCTTGCTCCAGGTCTCCATTAGCTTCCATGTCACTGTTATATTATTGTTACCGCTGTGCAGACTTTTAAAGCCTGCAGAGTTCTGCATGGGCCCAACACCAAGAGCAGAACCGGGTCTCTACCAGCGTCTTTAAGACCAGATCAGCACAGGGTCCTACATGATTACACTCACTGTAAACTCTGGAGTAATGTCACTACTTAAGCAAGTGTAGCTACTCATTTCTCACAGCAAAAATAACATCGATGACAGAAATTAGTAGCTATGCCTGGGTCATGTTCGCTCACAGCTAGCTTGATCTGCATAGTTAGCATAGTTAATACTGATGTAACAAACTAGTAGTGCCAAGTTTACAGTCATGGTAATCACGTGTCAGACGCTTTCTGATGTTCAGAGCTGAACTGGTACCTACACTGGTACTGTTGCATCTTAGACCAGCATGTGGCGCCAGACCTGAAGCTGCATTTTGACCAACACAACGCATGAAAGTCAGAAGCTTCTACTCTACTCTAAAACTAACCAGAGTTGACCCCAACAGAGCCTGAGCTTGACTTAACAAAGCGTTCTTTTGCATATTTAAATCATTTTCCACAGCAGACGTTAACATTATCCAGGAAGTTGCTGCAGAGACAGAATCCACCATAACAAACGCTCTGTTTTCTTTTAGTCGTCTCACTGTTGACTTCCTGTTCAGACTCAGCTCACTCTGCACTTTCTAATGCATCCAAATGCACCATGAGTGAAGACACGATGGGCCCCGACTTGTTGGAAACCACTTAGTGGTAATGGAGCATGTGGCTTTAAATGGGCCACAATGTGCAAAGTAGTGGTCTGGTCCTTTAAAGGTTTAAGGTGAATCTCCCCCAAAAATGAATCAGCACAGTCTGCTCTCCAGGTTTGTCAAACGGGAGACAAAGCAAGCCAACGTCAACATGTAACCACACTTTGGTTACTGTATGATTCCATTTGTGGTGATACTCTGTGTTTACAAGGAGTATTACTGAATGGAAGCTGGATCAGAAGCTCTCGGTGGACAAAGACCTGAGTCGGACCGAGTCCAGAAACCAGGAAAAAACAAACTCTTCAGACCTTTTTTCAAAGCTGGAAAACCCGCCATACGGTTCCAGATGTTCTGTCAGAAATGCTAAACTCTCGTCCTCCCACAAGCTCCAGGGGAGCAGCAGCGTCGGCGACCGCTGGTGAAGATCTTCCGGCGTTCTCCTTTCTGTAGCATAGCTTCTAACAACGTCCGTGTCCTGCTCTAGAGGAGGACATGCATCGTTGTCTAAGCTGCAGAAAGAGTCAGCACGCGTGCTGCTTCCAGCTCAGGAGCAGATGTTAGGCTAACATTAGTCTGAGGCAGCCTGAGCTTTTTAGTTTCACTCATGTTCTTATTTTTTGGGGGGTGTCTCTTTCTTTGAACTCAGTAGTTCTGTTTTGCCGGTGTCGAGTGGTAGGTTTGAACCAGAAAAAGCTTGCAGCAGTTTTAATCGCATTTAGGTTCCGCCTTTCTCCTTCTCTTCTGACTGTGCTTATTTTATATGTATTTATAAAAGTATGTTTTGGGGGAGTTCCTTTTGTGATTTAGGCCTGAATGATAGTCTCAATATATATGTAAACACATTTGATGTCTTAATACCTTTTAGATATTGTAAAAACAGTGAAGTCAGAGGAATTAACCCTTTTGTAAAAACTAAACACATCATGACACGTCACCCTGTTTTTGAAAGCAGGACGTAAAAAACGCTTTCATCACTTTTGTATAAAAACGCTTTTCTGATATGATATTTAACTTTTTGTAAACAGCATCATTTGTGTTTCCCCTGGTTCTTCTTGTCCTTTGTGTATTATTGTGAAATGTATAATCATGGTTATTTCTTAATGCACTATTTTTGTTGGGGCACTTAATAAGAGCAATGCATCTTAGCAAAAAACAAAAAAGATAAAAGTTTAAAAAAAAAAAGCTAGAACAATATGCACCAATATGTTGTTTTGTTTGTCGTTCTGAAATGGCACAAATCCTGTCGTGAAACTTTTATATTTCAGAATAACGTCCTAATATTCCACCGGTCTGACTTGTGGACCGAGCGTATCGCTTGGTTTTAGAAGACGGTATTTTATCCATGTACTATTAGACCCGATCCTAGTCTTTGTGTGTTTTGGTGAGAATGACATGCGATTTGAAAACAGGCAGCGAACGTGAGTGTTTGGCTCACTGATCTCAAGGAAACCTCCAGTGATGTTGGTGGTGCTGTTGTTGTCGTCGCACACAATCTGGATCCTTTACTTATGCAACCGTGTTCCTGTTGTGTAACAAACTCGTCTTCCACGCCGCCGTGGAAAAGAAAAGGTCGGGACATGAAAAGATCTAAACGTCATGTTTGATGCCTTACAACTGAAGACACTTCAACGCCGTCTTTTTTAAATTAAGTTCTAGCTCTGCAGCAGATTGTCGTAGAAAGCTCCAGTCCAGCTCTGAGGAGTTTTGTCTGCACCAAACATTTGTACCTCAGGTTGACCCCTGAACAACAAAGTCTGTGTTATCAGCACTGTTCTTAGCCTTTCAGTGTCACACAGCGCCCCCTAATCACAGAGGAAGGCACTACAAATCAGGAGCTTACTACAAAAGCGCACAACATTCACGAAAGAACAAAAGAGTTTGGGGATGAAGGCGACAACAGTTACAGAAATCTGGAAAACCCCTCTAATAAATCTGAAACAGCGACAGTTGCATGTTTCAAATCATCTGGAAGCTGAGATGTCAAAACCAACTATGACAAAACGGCCTCATCATACAAAGTGCGTATCAGAATTAACACACAACTACCTCCATGTCTCACATTTGTCTTGAAATTCTGACACTTACACAATTTATCCCTAAACATTAAGTGAAAACCGTGTCACACATAGAAGATCTGAATGTCAGTGTTACAGGGAAACAGATTTACAAGAACACTTTTACAGTAATAGAAGAGCTGTGTTTCATAATTAGTCACGTGGTCTTGAAACAGAGACACAGGTCTCATCACTTTAATGAGGAGAGAGAGATTTCCACAGCATTGGGTACTTCCCATTTTCCTGACACAAACCAGAACCATCTCACTTCCCTTTAACTGATGAGGCGCCTGAATCTCTGAACTCTTTGTTAGTGAAACCAGACTCGAGGGCAGGGATCTGAAGCTTGGACGGGTTAAACTTTGGACTTTATGCAAACGCAGCAGGAGCGACAGGCTCTGTCGCGTTGGCTGCTGGGAAACGTCTGTCCAGCGTCTGTGGGAAAAGCCATTGTTTCACTTAAGCTAATGAAAGCCAGCCTCAGTGAACAGTTCAACACGAGCCCCCACGTCCGTCTCCACTTTTCAAACTGCTTGCTAACGTTTGCTTTTTTCTTTGTCACTGTTGTAGAAAGTTTGCTTCTCACTGTCCTGGTTTTCAGCCAAGGTTTGAAAAACTGCAAATAAAACTTTTTCGATGTTTTACTTCAATGTGAAAGAGGGCAGAGGTACTGCATCTTTGTGAAATATGAAATATATCAAAGTATATCAAAGCACAATGTTTAATTAATGTCTTTAGAATACAAACAAGGGGCGCCGCCCCAGCTTTTACTTCCTGTCTCTGGCCATGCTGTAAATAAATGCATGTTTTGGTTTTTTTTCCTGTGATCAGTGCTTTTTGTACAGAAACAGTCTAATAAAGATACATTTGGCTTGAACTGCCAGTGTCAGGGATCTGATGTAAGTTCTGAGTGTCTGCTGCAGTAAGGATGGACAGATTGACACCGCGTTGTCAGTTTATTAGGTACACCTAGCTCACTCTGAGTCAGTCGTATGGAGTCTGAGATATACAGACAGGCTAAATGGTGTTTAGCCTCACTGATCTAAACGGTGTGGGCCAAATAACAAGCCCTCTGTGTAACAACAACTGCACAAACTACAAGCCCTCTGTGTAACAACAACTGCAAAAACTCTACAACAGCAGTGTGAACAGACCAGATGTCCTCAGACCAGGTCTGGGCCACCTGCGTATGAGCTCCTAGGCCCGATTCCTCTCCGACCTCTGACTGTGTGAGCACCATCATTGGAACGGTCAGATCAGAATTCATGTGGTCGTTTTAACGTCTCCTCCTCTGCACATACGGCCTGTCGTCATCATTCGGCGTCAGCCCCTCACAGACCAGTAACAGTAAACATGGAGGAGAGCGACGACAGCGACGGGGTCAGTGGAGAGACCAGGACGTTTCACATGTGGTAGATGTTTATGGAGAAGCTTCTGATCAGGACAAACTGGGAGGAACATATTGTAAACCAGCGGTTTGGGAGGAAACTGGGTCATTTGACCACCTGGTTGTTATTCTTGTGTGTGTGTGTGTGTGTGTCTTATATTTCAGTTGCATCTGTGCACCTGTGGCAGTTTAGGAGCTCAGCCAGGTACATGGCACCAACACACACAGACGGGAAGCAGCACACACAGATCAGATCTGAGCGTTAAGGCCTGAGTTGTGGACGGAGCATTAGTTTGAGTGAACTGTTCCTAATAAACTGACCACTGAGTTCATCTCTGTTCATGAACAGAGGAGGACAAACAGTTTACCAACATGTCTAAGACAAGAATGACAAGAAAACGAACAGAATTGATTTTCTGAAGATGAGAAGTGTGCTGAGCCAGAAAGTCAAATGACTTGAAAAAGGCACAAACACAACCACAAAGTGACTGAACTACTACAATGATGCGCAACATGACAAATAGACACAGAGTGATTGCAAAGAGATGCAAAATGGCCACAAAGAGTCAAAACAGCTACCAAGGGAGAAAATGACTTTTAAAAAATGCACCAAATGACCAAAAAGAGATGAAATTACCTTAAGGCCTCGACTCAACAATGAACAGACGCAGAACAACCACAGAGAGACAGAATGACCCTAACCCTAGAGAAGGAATGGCCACCGCTGTGTCGTTGGGCATCATTTTGAGTCTCTTTCTGTCTGGGCTCCATTACTGGGAGAGGTGGTGGCCTTCTACGTCTGTCTCCAGGGGCCCATTGTCTCATGACGTAGCACCGCTTCATCCAGCAGAAATCTCACTTAGTGAAACTATTGGTGGAGGATCCTGAAGTCAGAGCTCCGATGGATTTCAGTGTGCAGATTTCAGAAACAGAACACATTGTGTTGGATGACAAATTTGTCCAGTTTGACAATTTCTGACGTGAGCTACATTTTATTTATGGGCTGTGTCCAGGTTCACTGCAAGAATCAAGAATGTAAAAACCAGTGTTGACATGGTCGAATAAGAGGCCGTGAGCCCCAGAGAGCTGCTCAGATGCCCCTCAAAACAGGACAAGGAAGAACCAGCTCCTTCAGAAGTGGTGTTTATCAGAACAGCAGTCCTGAGCAGGAAGTCTGCTTTCCAGTGTGGGGGACCAGAACAGTCCAGTATCAGTCTGCAGCAGAGGGAGGGGCATGGGGGGGTCACTCCAGTGTCAGCACCAACCCTGATGGGCCATGAATCAGTTTCTCACATACACAGGAGTCGTTAGTGCAGTCCACAGTCCTGAGACTGCAGCATCCAATGGAAACCTCTGACCGGCCTCTAGTCTCCGCGTCCTCGGCTCAGCTCCAATCCGCAGCTGGCAGAGCGAACACGACCGACTCGGAGTCACTGAGAGGATTAAAGCGCTGTGCTTGGACACAGTTTGATGAATGCTCGACCTCAGAAACGCTCAATCGGGCATCTTCAGGAAAACTTTCCAGGGAAAAGGCTGAGGCTGCTGATTGGCTATAGAGTTTTTGTTCTGGATACTGCCCCAGATTAATAAAGCACCTGGACTCACTGAGCTAGGAGGCTAATAAATCTTTTACCAAATCTTTTGTCTTTCCTCACTGGTTTTTCTAACCATGTGCAGAAGCTTTGATTTGGCTGGCACACAACCTTCAACTCAATAGGTTTATATGACACACCATTTGCTTCCTGTCAGTGCACGTAACCTGCTGAAAGAGCAAATAAACCCTCTGACAAGTAGCCAGAGAAGAAGAACCACTGTTACATCACTCAGTAGCCATGATGGATCCAGATCCAGTACCTTCACTATATGTGCACATGGCAGCAGAAGACGTGCAGCGCTGAATGTGTGTCTGACATAGTGAAAGAGCTGCAGCTTCAGGAGCTACTGGGTCCAAATACCGAAGCTTCTGTTCACACACATATGTGAAGTGAACATGATGTCACATGGTTAGATTATGTGCACAGGTCCAGGGGCTAAAAGGGGTCAAAGGCCAAACAGCCCAATGAGAGGCAGCCACAAAGACATGCAAAATGTCCTCACAGAGACACAAACATCCACCAGTAGATGCTCAACAACTGCAAGAAGATGCAAAATGTCCACAAACACAAAGTAAACAGAGACAAACACTAAACAAGTGCAAAATGGCTCTAAAGATGAGCAGTGAAAAACTGGCCTCATATTAGAAGAAAGAGCAATCAGATCTGAACCACCCCACTGGTGTGAGCTGTGGGAACTCAGGGACATCGTTAAAATAGTCTGCCAAGTCCAGAAACAGGAGTCAGACGATCTGAACATTTGCTGACAGCAGCTCCTGAGAGCTACAGGAGGGGAGAAGGACAAAAAGAATTTTCCACAGCTGTAAGAAATGAGGGAAACAGGCAGAGGCAGCTCCTGATGTCTGAGCTCCAGGAATAGTTGGAATATTTGTTAATCAGTTGGAGGAGGAGGCCGTGTCGAGTTAGTGCAGGTGTGTTTGCTTTGGCTGAGGACTGGACTGACGTGACGGTACAACATCTGCACTGCTGAGCACTGCTTTAGACTGTTTCCTGTGAGCTGATGATGTCAGTGCGATATCACTGCAGGCCCAGGTTTGTGTGTTATAACGCAGTGCTCAGGACTGACGGGAGGACTGTAAGTCATCTCACACCGGAGGAGCCCGGGGCCCCGGCCGTCCTGATGACACCAGAGCCCCTGCCAACTGGGCTCAGGCTGTAGAGAAGGTCCAGAGGTTCATGCTCGCTAACTGAGGTTTCTGGGAGGGACCGGGTTTTGGACAAGGTTTGGAAATCTGATATAGGCCCATCTAAATCATGTCATGCTCATCATCAAGTCCGTCAGTACAGAGAAAGTGCTTCAGAAGAAGAGTCAGCAGAGCCTGAAACCAGCGCTGCTTCAGGTGCATCTGCACCACCAGCACTGTTCCTGAAGGATGAGTGTTTTTAGACTGGGTCACAGATCAGGTCCAACAGGTCATTCTCAGTGGACATCAGGCTCAGCTGCTGCTTTCACAGTTAAGGTGAATCAGGAAGAAATGCTTCACCACCCACTTAAATTTCTTAAATTTTCTGACTGTCTAAACCGTGGGCAGTGCTCCAACAAACCAGTAGGAATAAAACTCATTTTAAAAGATCTTACACACCAAAAATAAGAAATATAATTAAAACTATTTAACACGTTTGCAAAATTGCATGATACCACTTTTAAATTCGACCCAGCCTGACCCGTCAAAATAAAGGCTTTTTCAAACCTACAGTAGAGTTTGACGGCTCTGGTTCAAGTCAGTTATTCAGTTTGCTTTCACACCAAGAGAAATCCAAGCGAACCAAAATGCATCGCTATGAACCATACGAGGCCATGAACCATTCCCATCTGCTCACTGGTTAAATGAGCCTGTGACGGGAACAAGTATACACAGGAAGAAGGTTCAGTTCTGGAATGTTCATCCATTATCAGCCACTCACCTCAGGTCGGGTCCTGGGGACAGGAGGTTCAGCA